ATATCACTTTTTATTAATTCATTTTACTTATACATAACATTAGGATTCATTTGGGCATAATTACAGAAGCATATAATATAATCTGCTCTAATTTAGTTCCCAGTACTACCCTTTACCCTGTTCTGTTCCCTTCCCTCTATTGATCTTTCTACTATTTACTTATAGTTTACTTATAGTTTTTTGAAATATCTAAATATGTACATAGAAAAGATAGGTCCATTCATTCCACTCCACTTTCTTCCCTTATTCCATCCCCCTCCATCCTCCCCTTCAATCTCTTTCCTCTACTCCACTGATCTCTCTTCTATTTTCATTTGATTCCCCGTCATTTTCTTTCTTTCTTTTTTTCTTATTTTGAACTAACATCTGTATATCAGAGGAAATATTTAAGCTTTGACTTTTTATGTCACTTAGCATGATGGTCACCAGTTCCATTCACTTATCAGCAGATGCCATAATTTTATTCTTCTTTATGACTGAGTAGGACTTAATTGTGTATATATACCACATTTCCCTTGTTCATTCATCTTTTGAACGGCACCTAGTCTGATTTCATAGCTTGGTTATTGTGAATTGGCTACTATAAAACATTGATGTGACAACATCATTAAAGTATGCTGATCTTAAGTCTTTTGTATATATATTGAGAACTGGGATAGGTGGGTCATATGGTGGTTCTATCTTAGATTTTTTGAAGAATCTCCATACTGCTTTCCAGAAGGTCATACTAATTTGCAGTCCCACCAACTATGTATGAGTGTACCTAATACATAGATACTTGTTCCTGTTATTTCTAAGACCTTGGGATGCATAATTTCCTCTTAGAACTGCCTTCACTGTATCCCACAGATTCTGCTATGGTGTGATTTTATTTTTACTTAATTCTATGAATTTTTAAAATTTCCCTGATTTCTTCAATAACCCACGGGTTATTCAAAAGCTTATTGTCCAATCTCTACTATTTGTTTGCATAGTTCCTATAGTGTCACTTGCTATTGATTTCTAGTTTCATTCCATTATGATCTGACAAATGCAAAAAACATTCATTTTTTGTATTTGATATGATTTCCTTCATTGCCTAAAATATAGTCTACATTTGAGAATGTTTCATGAGTAGCTGAAAATAATGTGTATTATGCTGCTGTTGGATAGAATATTCTGTAAATAAAATATTTATGTCTATTTGATCTATAATGTAGTTTTAACTCTGATATGTTTTGTTGATATTTTAACTGGATGACTTTTCTATTATCATGAGTGAGGTAGTGAATTCATCCATTATTATTATATCGGGGCCTACTAATCCCTTTATGCTGAGTATTCATTGTTCAATGAAATTGGGTGTGCTTCCATCAATGTTTATAGCAGCACAATTCACAATAGCTAAACTGTGGAGCCAACCTAGATGCCTTTCAGTAGATGAATTGATTTAAAAATGTGGCATATATACAATGGAATATTTCTCAACAACAAAAAAGAATAAAATCATGGCATTTGCAGGCAAATGGGCAGAGTTGGAGAAAATAATGAAGTTAGCCAATCCCCAAAAAACAAATGCCAAATATTTTCTCTGATACAAGGAGGCTGATTCATAGTGAGGTAGGGAGGGGAAGCATGGGAGGAATAGATGAACTCTAGATAGGGCAGAGAGGTGGGAAGGGAAGGGAGGGGGCATAGAGTAAGAAATGATGGTGGAATGTGATGGATATTATTATCCAAAGGACATATATGAAAACACAAATTGGTGTGAATATACATTGTATAAAGCCAGAGATATAAAAAAATTGTGCTCAATATGTGTAATATGAATTGTAATGCATTCCACTTTCACATATAAAAAATATTAAAAATAATTGGGTGTGCTTCTTATTTCCATCCATCCATCCTCCCTTTCCTTCATTACCATTTGTCTAATCTAAAGTACTTCTATTCTTCTTTCCATACACCTTATTGTGAGTCAGCTGCCACACATCAGAGAGAATATTCAGCCTTTGGTTTTTTGGAATTGGTTTATTTCACTTAGCATGATAGTCTCCAGTTTTATCTATTTACTGGCAAATGCCATAATTTCATTCTTCTTTATGATGGAGTAATATTCTATTGTGTGTGTGTGTGTGTGTGTGTGTGTGTGTGTGTATATATATTTATATATATCACATGTTTTTTAATCCCTTCACTTGTTGAAGGGCAATTAGGTTGGTTCCATAGCTTAGTTGTTGTTTGAGCTGATATAAGCTTTCACTTCACATATGTATAATACGTCAGAATACATTCTACTGTGATGTATAACTAAAAAGAACAAAAAAATTAAAGAGGCAATAAAGTTAAGTCATTAGGGTAATAAAGTTAAGTCATGAAGATAATCACAATCCAACATGACTGGTGACCTTAAGAAAAAGGAAATAAATTGGGTGAGCTTATGTTCAGTACATATATATTTACATTGGTTATATATTCTTGGTGAATTATTCTTTTTAGCAATAGGTAGTACTGTTGTAGGGGACAAATGAGGCAGGGCACTATGATAGCAGGAAACAGTTTTATTTGGTTGCAGCCAGGTTCAGAGGGTACAGCTTTCACTGAAATAAATTAATCCCTTGAACCCTGAGTTCAGGTAGTTTCAGAAACTTACACCCAGGCTGATTCATAGGGGGTAGGGAGGAGGAGCATGGGAGGATTTTTTATATAAACTCTAGATAGGGTAGAGGGGTGGGAGAAGAAAGGAGGGGGCTCAGAAGTTCACAGTCTCCAGAAGTTCACATAAAAGTAGCTTTTTCTTTCACTGTTCTGGGCAAGTTAACTCTTCAAGGACAGTGCCTGAGAAGGGGAGAGCTTCTTCTCCCCTTTTTTCCCTCCC